GCTGGCCCGCTCCCTTCTGGGTTCGCTACCAAGAGCCAGCGATGCGATATCACTACTGGAATGCGCAACGGCTTCGCTGACGGTGCTGGCTGGGGGGGGGGGAGGGGAAAGCAAAAGCAAAAATTCTCTTTGGGGAAAATTAACAGTCCTACAGCGTACTCGTCCTTCGCCAGGGTCAGTCTAAGATTAGGATTCCTTTTAGGCCGATGCAAAAAAAACCCCACCTATTCCTCAGTCCAATTCTCAATACACATTAATTTCAACTCCACCTCCTCCTGATTCTTTCACCCCAAAAATCTGAGGCTTGGGGGGCTTTAAGTCCTCTTCAACCTGATTTACATGTTCTGAGACATCCAGCTTTCCTGCAGAGCGGACTGGTGCTCTCCAAAGTACAACAGCCTGTCACCCCAGGTCACGGTTCTTAAAACAGGGATTAACTCTTCCACTAAGTCGACTGAAACTCAACGCACCAGAGTTACAGAAGGTTAAAACCAACCAGAAATAGTCAGAGACAATTACAGAGCGCTGCAGAATTCCAACAAGCTCATCCTTCCCAACACACGCTTTGCTCCAGAAACAAACAGTACTGTCTGATTTGCTGAGCAAATTGGAGCTTATCTGGACCTCACCAGCACAATGGCTTAAAGCCGAGAGGCTGAAGGAATTAGTACTTTCACTGTCACACTAACCATTTTAATGACAGAGCTCCTCTTTACAAAGTTCATGTTTGCTCTCCTGAACACAAGCAAACAAAGCAAAAACTAGTTAAAATCATCATCAGCCACCAAAGTTTGATGAAGAATCGAGCACCACACACTGCTCCACAGGCTAAAGAGCACTGTACAGGCAATTAGACATGTCATCTGCATAGCAAACGAAGAGCAAACTGACGAGCACTCCCAACAGCACAGGCAAGACCAACATCCCAACTCCTTACAACACTACGGCACCCTCAACCCACACCGTACGGGAAGGGGGAACAACGTTAGGCTGCCACCAGTTAGTCCTATTAACCTAAACCAATGAAAAAACAGTCTTAGTTTATTTTAAAAGTTACAAAAAAGTTACATTAGGGCAATTCAAAAGAGGGGAGTCGAGCACTCCCAACAGCACAGGCAAGACCAACATCCCAACTCCTTACAACACTACGGCACCCTCAACCCACACCGTACGGGAAGGGGGAACAACGTTAGGCTGCCACCAGTTAGTCCTATTAACCTAAACCAATGAAAAAACAGTCTTAGTTTATTTTAAAAGTTACAAAAAAGTTACATTAGGGCAATTCAAAAGAGGGGAGTACTACATTCTTGCTATCAGAAAAATGCCTGCTTCAAGCAGAAACGGGGAGGCAGCAGTGGGAAAGGCCGGGAAGCCCCTTTGCATGAACGTCCTCAGCTCCAGGTAACACTGGCAGATTTCTGACAGTCACCAGCAGGCCTGAGGACATTTTTCTACTCAAAGTCGCCAGTCAAAATTTTACAACTCAGGCTATAAACAAAATTTTAAAAGCTGTTCTGGCACAGGTGGTGTGGCAGCTCTTGCACACACAGACTTGCGGCCAGTAACATCACACGGGGGGTTTGAAGATGGCCCAGAGTTTCTAATGAGATCATTGTGACCCAGCAGCATCCCACCCCAAAGGGCGTTTTTAAGACTTCTGAAGGCAAGTCTGGTTAAAGGACAATATTGCAGGTCAAAACTGGCAAGACCTTCATCCTCACTTCCTAGAGGATCCTTCCTCTGCCTCACAGAGAAGATGCCTGCTGCAGGCATGGCTTTGCCATTCACCTCATCGGTTCAAACCCTGCCTTACTGCTTGAGACCTCAGGAGAAAGACAGCTCTCCTCCCCGAGCAGGGAGCTTCAGTCTCAGGCTACATCAAAGGGACAGAACGAGTCCGCTGTTATTCAGTCCCTTCTGAAGGGCAACACTCAGCTTTGACTTACTTGCAGCTAACAGAAAGAGCTACCTGCTACCTCTCTGAACCTTTACATATCTTTAGTAGCATCGGTTATGAATATGCAAACCAACTGCTCCACCGCACTCCCCTCCTGCGCGGTGACAGGGGACGGATTTGCTCGCAGTGCCCACGGCGAACTGCTGCGCTGCGCTGCCTCAGGAAGCTCA